ATGGAAATCTGGGTTGTTTCCAGTTTGGCGAAATTGAGAGTGAAGCTGCCATAAACGTGCACATGTGGTTTTTTTTGTGTGGACAAATGTTTACATTAGTGAGATTGCTGGGTCATTTGATAAGGGTGTGCTTAATGTTATAAAAAACTGCCAAACTGCTTTCCCAAGTGGCCGTACCATTTTGCGTACCCAGCAGTGAGATATGAGAGTCCTGAAATGCCTTATCCTTACGCAGACCTCACCCCAACCCCAAAACTGGCGCTGTCTTCCCTCAGTGGGTCACCCGTTCCCTGAGGTGTTTTTAGAACTCCTTTGACTAAGTGTGTGATTGTCCCATCAGTTCTTCTAAAGATTGTTCCAGAGGGTAGGATGGCAGGAATGGGGAGAAACATGGAGGGAGGAAGAAGGTAAAAAGCTTGCCACTGAGCAAAATGGTAATGTGGTGTCGTTGGCTGGTGCCAGCCTGTTGGTGGTGGTCCCTGAGGTCAGATTTAGTGACCTTTCCTTGAGGCAGTGCATTTTCCTTGTGGGCATGTTTTAGGAACGTGATTTGGAGATTGCAGTCAGAATTAAGCACACGTGTGGAAGGGCCCGGTGTTGGCACCAGCTTCCTATGACCTGGTGGCCTACATCCCATGGAGGACTTCAGACAGGACTTGTCCCGCTCCCCAGGTCTCCTCTTCCAGGGCTTTACCTCATTGACCCCAGCCACGGTCAGCGTCAGGCCTTTCTCAGGCCACCTCAAGGCATCTGACTCCTGGACCTGTAAGCACAAGGCTGGCAGCAGGTGGGGGCACTCCTGGCGGTGTGGTCCAGGGAAGCTTTGCAGGGTGAGCTGACACTATGTTGACTCTTGCTGTCATCTAGGAATGCTTACAGATGGAGGTATCAAGACAAAGTTGTTTTTACATCAGTTAGGGATTTTTTCCATAGTTTCTTTGTAATAAACATTCTCCTGTGACTGTCAGAATGGGTGTCCAAATGAATCTCATGTTGTTACGTGTTTTTTATTTAAGGCAGCTGCTCAGACACCCTTTTGGTTCTGGGCCTGCTGATTTTGAGGTGCTTGTGGGATGCCAAGGAAAGGCAGCCAGGAGGTAGCTGAATATCTTGGTCTGGAGCTCACGACAGACTTGGGCTGGACAGAGACATGCGGTTGAAGCCGTGGCAGTGTATGGGAGCTTCCATGGAGGAACATACACATCGAAGAACGTAGACGGTGAACCTGGGCAGATGTTGGTGGGGTGGGGACATGTGTCAGAAAAGGACAAAGCAACTGGAAAATAAGACTGAGAATGAGGGGCCAGAGAGGTGGGAGGAGAACCAGGGCTGAACGGCCAGGACAGGGAGCGGAGAACGTGGCAGAGGGGTTGCCTAGCCCAGAGTTATCCCTGGTAGAGAAAAGCACACTTTCAGTGGAGCAGAGGCGGAGGAGGTGGAGAGGGAAGCGGGTTAAAAAAGTGAGAACTGACAACTCGTTCAAGAAATTCACCTGCAAGGAGAAGACAGTGAGCAGGAGCTGGAGGAGATGGGAGGTCTAGAAAAGATGTCGTATTATGACTATCATTGTTATTGTTACTGTCATCACTATTATAATTATTAATGGGAGAGGCTTATGCACATTATAATGCAGTGGGAAGAAGGAATTGGAGAGGAAGAGCATGGAGAGATGGGGGAGGGCATTAGAGCAAGGCCTCTGAGCGGGGGTGGGGACGGGGTCCGGAGCCCAGGAGGAGAGTGGGTGCTGGGAGGAAAGGGCTGTTCTTCCATTAAAGCCAGAGGAAGGGAGAGGATGCAGGTGAATTTATAAGTTTGGTGGCGGAAAGTGTTCTTCTCACAGCTTCTGTTTTCTCCCTGATGAACCCAGGGAACAGCCATATGACAGAGGAGAGGTCCCAGAAGAAGCTGGCAAAGGACTGTCCAGGCTTTTACTCTCCTTTCAAATCCAGTTGACCTCAGCAGAGAACTCAGAGCCAAGGACAGCCGGGGCGAGGTCAGGGCCCCAGCACAGCCCAGGGGCAGCTGAGTGGCTCACCAAGGACACAGGGCTACCAGAGCCTTACCAGCCTCAGCCCAACCCTTTGTCTCCCTTCTAGAACCAGCCCTGCCTCCTCTGGTCAACTTGCACTTAATTACACTCAAATCAGTTCCATAGCATGGACCTTTTTTAGGCATTAGTGACTGGAAGAGTTTTGTTCTATTACTTCACATTTTCCAAACCCACTTCACACAGATGGAATCTCTTGTATTCCTATAAGGCCAAACACAGGAGAGGAACAGTGCCAAGGAGGTTGGGCCCCAGACTTGTTTTATTGTAGATAGAACGCTATTATTTCTTTTGACATCTTGATAAACCTTTCTGCACTGAATTTGGGAGATTTCAACACTGAGGAATGCTCATACTCCATTCATTCAACAGATGCTGCTTGGCATCTGCTGTGAGCCAGGCCTGTGCCCTGCATGTTACCTCCTCTGTCAGGCTTTACCTCTCTTGGTCTCTGCCAAGCTAGCTCTGCGGAGCTAGTTTCAGCATCCCTGTTTTCATCAGCAATGAAACTGATGCCCAGAGAGGCTAACTTGTCTGGGGTCGCCCAGGAAATAAGCGACAGGGCTGGGATTCAGAGCAGGGTCTTTTAACTCTAAGTGCTTTGCTTCTTCCATTTTATCAAGGAACTTCTCAAACATAATGTTTTACTCTGTTGAGGTTTTAATTTTAAATATTACATGTCTTCCAGTGCAAAAACTTCCTTAGGGAATTGTCAAAACCCAAGAACTACACAAACAGTTTTTGAATCAGCATCTTAGAAAAGTTCAAATCAAATAAATTCAGGGCAGATGTATTAAGTACCTGCTTTGGTTCCTGCCTGAATGGACATCAGCAAAATGAAAGAGAAATAATAATAGGTTTTGTTAATAATTCGAGATAGCAACGAGAGTGTGGTGTGGGAGAAAGAAGAGGGTGTTTGAAGTTAGAGCTGAGTCTGATAGCACTGTCACCCTAGGAAGAGGGAGGGAGAGAATCTTGATCAAGTACTTGTAACGTGCCAGGTGCTCTGCGTGTTTTAATCTCATTTAATTGTTATTATGAGCTTCACAGATAAATATAGTCTCATACCCATTTTAAGATGAGAAAATTGAGGTTCTGAGAAGATAAGCGTCATGCAGCTGGTGTGTGGAGAGCCAGGATCTGACCTGAGTCTGTCTAACTGTAAGGTCCACACTGCTTCCTTTCAGGATGCCTTCTTAAGTTACTTACAGTGTGGAAATAAGACCCCAGACTCTGAGTTAAATGTACACACACACACACACACACACACACACACGTGCATGCGCACATATATGTATGTAACTTCTGCTGTTTGTTGAAGAATTAAGGGAAAAAAAAAAGGGGAGCAACTATCAGCCAGAAATTGGGTAACAACCACGCCTCAGTCCTTGAACATCAGTTTTACGAATTCTCTTTTCTACCAGATTATAACCCATGCCTTTCCAGGACTGGCTTCGCAATCCACAGGGGAGAGAGGCTCTTGTCCTCACAATTAAACTTCAAAAGGGCAATAATATACATTTGCAAAACGTTTAAGGTATATGTTTTAAAGATGGGGCAGGGTGAGAAGAGTGAATGTAACTGAGGTAGGGCAAATATACATTTGAAAAGAGACTCAAATATACATTTTCAGAACACGGAGAGTCATGATAAACAGGTAAACTCTACATCTCAAAGAGATTCATGTCTGCTTTGCAAAGAAGTGGAGTCAAAGTATTCCTTCAAGATGATGAATAATACTGACTCCTTTTCCTCTTGGTTAAAATGGATGTGGTGAGAATTACATGAGATAACATGTGAGGTGCCCAGGCCAACGCCTGGCATATGGTGGATTCTTGATAAATGGTAGCATTAGTTAATATCATGGTCATTACTATCACTTGGGGTCTAAGTTGTGAGGGTGTGAAGGGCTTGGCAGGGTCAAGGGTGGTTGTTTTTTCATATGGGTCCTGGGAGGAGGATGATGCCCTTTACAGAAGTGAGGCAGCCAGGACGAGGAGCTGTGGTTCTTAGCTCCTGGTTGATTCCCAAGCATTCTCAAGTCCAGGTCAGTCATCTTCTATCCAGAGCTGCCTGTTGCCTTTAGCCAGGCTTCCCGCAAGTGCCTGTCTGTGGGTCCTGAGATGCATTTGAAGGAGCGGGCCCTTCAGGCATAATTTCAGCCAACAAGTTTTGTCCCTGGCCATTCCCACTGCCCTCTGTGACTTCCTAGTAGACCCCTGATCTGCATCTATTTCAGCTGGTGGGCAGCTGACTCTCACTAAAGATCTTATAAAAGTTCCAGGTGTGTCCAACTGTCTCGTGACTTAGGGGTAGAGAACTTGAGAATCAACCACCTTTCCTCCATTCTCTGCCATGGCTCCCTAAGGCACAAGCTGAGAATGCCAGGCACTTAGGTAATGAGTTATATGAGAGATGGGAGGGGCCCACTTCAGGAAGGAATCAGAGGTAATCCCAGAAGCTTCTCTGATTCCTGTGGGCTTGGACTGGGACTTTCCCTGGCTCCAGGAAGGGAGGAAGTCACATTGCTGATGAAATCTGAGATTCTTCAACCAGATTTTAATTTTAAGTTAGCCTGGGGGGATGAGTCCTGTTAGTTAAAACATTATGCTCTCTCTCAGACAATTGTGTTAAGAAGGGACTTCTGGTCCCAGGGGAGCTGGCAGAGTGGCAGTGGTAGGGTTAGGAACATTTTGGCACAGAAGTCCTGAGAGATGTGGCTGGGGTTGTGGAGGAATGTATTCCACTTCTCCTTACCTCTGGGGGTCCCAGGATGCACCTCCACCTGCAGACCCAGCCCTCCTCTCCAGAGGAGGAGAACCCTCTCCCACCCTGATGAAGATGTGAAGGCTTCTGCCCTTCCCCACCTCTGTGTCCACATTCCAATTAGATGCCCCTGCTGTGTTTGCATCCCAATTAGAATCATTGTTGAAACTGACTCTGTGCTTCCTAGGAACTAGCCAGCTGTGGATGGAGTAAGAAGGAGAAACATAGTCTCGCCCCCAACGTCGTGGCCTTTACCCGGAGGTTTAACCAGGTAAGCAACACCCCTTGCATGTGCCTGTCCAGATAGCAATCTGTTGGCCCCCTTAGGCTGGGAGCCGTGCCATCGTTCAATCCCAGGCACCTGGCCCCAGGTCCAAGCCCCTCTTCCTGAACCCCCACCTTTATCCATTCTTGTGTCATCACAGTGCTTTTTCACACAGCAGCTGGAACTGAACACATCTTTCCTGGGTTTAAATCATTTCAGTGGCTTCCAGTTCTACTTGAGCTAAGTTTTGAGCACCTTAATGTGCCCTGCAAGGTCCTGCACGGTGGATCTGGCTTCTGTCTACCCCCTACTCGCCTCATCTCTTGTCCCTCCCCCGTACTCTGCAGGCTTCGGCCCTCTGGGCCTTCCTTCTCCTTCCTGATGCACCATATCTCTGTCCTGTCAGGTGCCCACACATGTTGTCCTCTCAGCTCAGAATTCTTCCTCCCTGTTCAGCTCCCAATCAGATCTCACCCTGAATGTCAACTTCCTCCGGGAGCCTTCCGTGAATCCCCAGCGTGTGTAAGGTCTCCCCATCATATGTTCCTTCATTGCACCCTGTACTTCTCCACATGGTCCTTTACTCATCTGTCCTCATTTTGTGTAACTCTTGTCTCCATCTTCCTTGCCAGTCTGTGGGCTCCATGAGGGCAGGACCATATCTATCTTGTTCATCACTGCATCCCTACCACCTTGCCCAGTGTCAGGCATATAGTAAACCCTCAGTAAATATATGTTGAGTGAATGAATGAGGTACTCAGGAAACACTTCTTGCCTTGAATTTCTTTGAATTCCTGATGGCCTGGTCACTGGCCCCATACATACTGCTACAAACCAACTTGGTCCAACCAGAACATTAGCTCCAGGTATAAAGATCTGCATCCCCACTTATTGGAATGAAGATGGGAACTTGGACCAACTGAGGGGGGTGGGCTTCTGATTGCTCAGCCAGACCTGCCAGAACATGAGGTAGAAAGCACCCTACAAGACCCCCTTTGGATAGACCAAACCCCTAAATGGTGCTGTTGACAGTTTTTCTTCTTGTTTTCCTGGTTTCAAATGAGGACAGTGGCCTGGAGGTTGCATAGTGTGCATGACTGGACCTCTGGGTGATGGGCCTGGGTTCCCGTTGGGGCTTCCCTCAGGCTGGGCCTTCCTTCTTTAAAATACCAGGTCCTGGGCATCACCATTGCTCAGCCCTCTCCAGGCTTCCCCATTCTCAGCTGCCAACCCGAGTGTAGCGGGAGCCTCAGAGAGGCACTGCCGTATAGTCTGTAGATCAAGGCTGGAGTTAGCATTATTGTTGTTTTATGAGATATAATAGGAACTAAGAAAAGCCTAGATGTATCTGCGGTAGGGACTACACAACATTTATTTTGAAAAGAGAAGTTCTGAAGCCTTTTGTTTCTTTTTTCTTTCTTTTCAAAATCTTTTCCTTTTCAACTGAGCTTAGTCTTTTAAAAAAAAACAGATGTGCACACACTCAGGGGATTCATAGTTTCCTTAGCAAAACTATTTGACTAGGAGCCAGCTCAGTCCCACCTCTGACCAGCAGCAGAGCTCCCGGAGGAGGGCTGTTGGGGGCTCTGATGTAATCTGCTTTGCACGCGGAGGCCAGGTCAGCTTGGCAAAGGGCAGTGCAGCTTGTTCTGTGAACAATTGCATTGTGTCCCGCTCAGACCAAGTGGGTGAAGCGAGCCAGAAGTAAAGTCGCATTTTCCCAAACAGAATGCTCTGGGAAATGGTCTTCCTGTCGGCCTGTCAGCCACTCAGAGCAAGCAGCTCCTGGACACAGCCCTGGTAGCTCTGGTTTGAAAACTGGCCAGCAGCCAGGTCTGGTTAGCCACTGGGGCTGCTTTCTCTGAAATGAACTGATTGGCATCCTTCTTGGTGGACTTTCATATGTGAGAACAAAGTCTCCTCATCAGACTCCAGATAAGGAAAGCAGACCACTTACCTTTCTGAGCCTCAGTTTCCTTATCTGTAAATGTGAATGATAATAGTACTCACCTTGCACAGTTGTTATGAAAATTAAATGAAGTGGTATATGGAGAGCTCTTAGCACAGTGTCTGGCATGTAGTAGGCATCTAAACGTTTTGGGGGAAAGTGAAGATCAGCTGATCGGAAGGAGGTTGCCCGGGGATTTGAGGCTCCTTGTGGCCAAACCAGAAACCCAGTGGCCAGCATCCTGGTCAGCCCCTGGAGGTTTGCCTGCTTCTCTGTGGGGCCTGAGTCCCTTGGGATTTGTTGAGATTGGCTGAGATGGAAGAGCTCAGCTGAGTTCACTAAGTGTCTGTTGTGGGCCAGGCTTGTGTCTCAGCCCCAAGGAGTTCACCACAAACCACAGAAGTTCTCAACCTTTTTTGGATCCTGGCTTCTTTTGAGAATCTGACAGTATCACATATGAATTTACCCCCAGATAAATGTACAGATATATAAATCTGCATTTAATTGTAGTGGATTCGCTGCCCACCCCCTCCCTGAAGTTTATGCATGAACACTTTAGGGGTCTATGGACAACAGGCTAAGAAGCTGTGGTTGGAGGGAATCAAACAGCCCTGAGTTTGCATCTAGGCTCTACCACTGTTAGTGTATGATCTTACGTTGTCTTTCAGCCTCTTACCTTCCTCATTTATAAAACAGGAAGAATCATTTCAAGTGGTTTTTGAAGATTAAATGAGAATTGTGGATGTAAAGGTTTAGCTCAGCATTTAACACATAGTAAACAGGTGTTGTTAGCTTTACCAAAAAGGTGTGGCACAGTGGCAGCCATGAGCTGAAAGGGAGTTTAGGCTTGGGCCTAATTGCTGGTGGTAGGGTTGGGATTGTGTCCTGAAGATGCTGAAGAATTCGGAAAAGATGAAGATGGAATTGGGAGAACTTGGTTCTAGTCCAGACTCTGCTGCTAACCTGCTTTGAGGCCTTTGGCAACTCTCTTTCTCTTTCTGGGTCTCAGGACCATTATATATTAACAGATATTGGACAGGGCCAAAGGTTTCCAACGTTTTGCCCCAAGGACTGCTTCAAGTTTTCTCATGGACTCGTGTATATATATATACACATGTGTATATAGAGTTCCTAATGACTGAAACCCCAGCTGAAACTCACCTTAATGGCTTATGTAACCAAGTCCTGGGAGAGAAGGGAATTCACATATGGCTAGGGGCTTGGGCAGCACCAGCCGACATCTGCGCTGCTCTCTCCACCCCTAGGTCCTGCTTTCCTCCGCGCTGGCTCCCCTCTCAGGCAGCCTCCTCCTCTGTGGCTGCAAGATGGCTGCCAGTAGTTCCCAGCTCACATCTCATTCTGAGGGCAACCCTGGCAGAAAAGTCCTGCCTCTTTTTCAGTAGCTCTATCTGATGTCCTAGAATTAAGACTCAGGGGCTCCCATTGCCCTGGCTTGTGTCCCATCCTGATCTAATCACTCCGGCCAGGAAGAGTTGAGCCTCTGGTTGTCCCGTTCCCAGAAACAGGCCTTCCCATGGAGGTAGGGGTGGGGGGCCTAGGCCACATGGACTGAGAATGGAGGAGTGGTAGTTCCTCAAGGAAAGTCAGGATGCTCTGACAGGAAGAAGCTGGGAGTGATGGCCGGAAAGGAAAACACAAGTACCCACCGTAGACCCTGTTCTCTCTTGCAGTGTGCTGTCCTGCTCTGAGCTTTCTCCCCTGATCACGCTGCCGATACCCCATCACTCTCAGTTCTGCCTTCTGAGCTCCCGTGCCTCATTAGCCTAGTTATCTAATGGTCCTGCTGCTTCTTGGCTTTAATTGACACTATTTAAAAAACATTTATTGAGCACTTAGGCTCGTCTTACTGAGTCAGACACTGTGCTAAGCATTTTACCTGCATTATCTAATTCAGTTTTCACAAAGCCCACTAGGTAGATGTTTTAAACCTATTTTATAGATGAGAAAGCTGAGGCTCTGGAAAGTGAAGCAACTTGCTCAAAGTCACATAGCTGATGAGTGTTCTTTACTGAGGGGCCTCCTCATTTTTTCTGACCTCCCCTCCTGTAGAACCTCCTATTCTTCCAGACCTTATTCATCACAGGGCTGGGAGACAACATTAGCATTCTCCGCCCTTCCAAATGCTGCCTCCAAACAATTATTCTTTCTTCATTTTATAAACCCGCTATCATTTGAGGCTCATTACTTCTGGTTATATTCATTTATTTATTCAATAGACATTTACTGAATATGTACTAGGCTCTGTGCTAGGATCAGGGTCAGCAGTAAACTCGATATAGCCCTTGCCGCTGTTAACTCGTAGTCTAGTGTGGGAGACAGACACGATAGATGGAATTACAGTCCGGGGGAATCAGCACTAGGATGGGGAAACCAGAGGAGAGGCGTGGGCAGTAGGAAGGGAGGCCAAGAGACTGGATTGGAGTCTGTTCCGTTAATCAGGTGAGGGATAAGGGGTGTGAAGTGGCTGGGCTCAAGAGAATATTAGGAGACCGAACAACAGCACTTGGTGATGACTGGATTTGGAAGGAGATGACAGGGAAGAGCAAAGGAGCGTCCTCCTTTGGACTCGGCAGCACCGTTCTCTGAGAGTGAACACAGGAGGAGGAGCGGTCGTGAGAGTTACATTAGGAGGTGAGTTACGTGTGGACATGTGGGCTGAACTATGCAGCAGGTGCTTGGATGTTTGAGTCTGGAAGTCAGGGGAAGGGTCCGGCCTAGAGATGCGGATATTAGAGTCTGCATTTGAAGCCAGAGGAGTAGATGAGATCATCTAGGGAGAAACAGAGGCCCAAGTGAGACCCTGAGGATTTAAGGGAGGGGCAGAGGAAAGGAGGCTGAGAAAGAGCCACCTAGGGGCAAGAAGAACACCCAGAAAGGGTAGTGTCTTGAATCAGTGTCTCAAGGATGAAGGAATGGTACAGAACAGGTCAACTAAGATAGGACTAAAAAGAGTCCTTTGCATTTGGCAGCATGGGTGTGCTGCTGAGCTCAGCAAGTCCAGTTTTGTTGGGATGTGAAATGGAAGCTGGGCTATAGC